AAAAAAGAATCTCTTCAAGCCATAGTGGACAAATACAGACCAGGTTTTGAACTTACAATTTAGAAATATAGCTATTTAAAGCACTTTCTGTAAAAGTGGGAAGCAGCGTCAAACTAATCTACATCATTAGCTTACAAGAGATCTCGCCAATTTATTTTAATGATCTTAATTTTAAGCTAAATCTTAAAAAAGGAACAGTTACGAAATGGTTGGAAACAAAATATTTTGAATCATTACTGATCATAGTAGAACTTTATGGTAAAAGGCTGTCGTGAAAGCAGCTTGAAGCCTGAAAACGTTAATAGTTTTTGTGGACTTGATAGTTTATTATTATAGGTACTCAAAGTAACTTTTGTAGATCTTTTTTTCTGGGTCAACGAGAGTTACAAAGTACTTGAACTGTTATAGCTCAATGTGAGTAAAATAAAACGATTGTTGTAAATAGAATCGCATTGAATAAAGAATTTGTTGATAGGTTGCTCGCTGGGAATATATTGCTTCCTATACCTTTGGTTTGTGGGTTTAATTGCCTGAACCCTTTTACTCTCAAGATCTGTTTGTAAATTCTCCCCTCTAGTTGATACACATTTCCTAGTTAATTAGTCACGAGAATTTGGTGTTAGATTTTTAGTTCTAAGTGTTAAATTCTCATTACCTGTTTGGTAGATAATGTAATGATATCATAGGGAGAAGTTACATCTTAATCAGTTCTGGCATTGTCAAGTAGGAGACTGAGAATAAATTGAGAGGAGGCCATTGTGAGTCAAAAAGGGGCTCTGACGTCAGAGTATCAGACCTGAAAAAAAGGCTTGTTTTCTTGCACTTGCTCGATTTCGAACTCATTCTTGAGCCTTTCTTAAGTCGAGCCAATCATTGCAGAGATAGGTTGCGGGATGAAATTTTTTATTGCGTGAACCAAGCCAATTTATCGCACAGGTCAATAATTTATGCCTTCAGTAGTTTTTCGTTTTTGCATGCACCGTTATATGACGTAAAACCGAAGGAGAGTGCAGCTCACGGTTAAGTTGTTGAAGTGAGCGCTAAAAGGGGTAGTTTTAATTATTCAATACAAAAATCGCTCTAGGCCATGATAACACTTAAGAACTTCGGATTCCACGTTCCCCTGCATATGCTTCGTTACAGATCGCAGATGACGTCAAAATGTGGAAAAAAAAAAAGAAATTTGGCACAGGACTCGCTTAGTGGCGTTTGTCACTGATGTGACAGCTTCGTTCCCAGGGCCTTTTCCCTTAGTTCCCACCCCAACTCCACCCCCAACTAAGGGAAAAGTACGGTGGCCCACAAGGGTCACTACATAAAAAAGGTCAACTGCATATTATACACTGCACCATATACACAAAAAATGTGGCTGCAAATAAAAAATATTATCTTGCTGCAAATAAAAAAGATGTTGCTTGAAATAAAAAAAATTATGTTGCTGCAAATAAAAAAAAAGATGTTGCTGCAAATAAGAAAAGATGGTACCCAGTCTTGCTCCCTTCAAGCCTCGTTCAAAAACACTTCACTGTGGTCGCAATGTTTTGTCCTCGATGTGGGAAAGAAATCAGCAAAGAATCAAAGTTTTGCTCAGTTTGTGGCTTTTCCATCTAGCAGTCATGATGCCAATGTTTACAGAAACATCTCTTTCTACTTTCCTGGTAGATTTTGGCTTCAAATGTTCCTTTCTGCTCTCGCTCTTTCGTTTTAAAAATTCCTGAAATTTTATTGGAGTCTTTACTGCAGGTTGCTCCGCTTCAGAGCCGATCCCTGAGGGGAATGGAACACTCGACTGCTGTAGGGAAGAGCCACAAGCTGAGAAAAACTTTGATTCTTTGCTGGCTTCCTTCCCGCGACTAGGACAAAACAGTGGCTGATAGTTTCGAAAGAAACTGTTTGGGGCTGCGTCGGTGGGAGTAACGAAATAATTTGGATATATCAACAAAGTTGAAATGGTAAATTGGCCACCGTAATGATTACAAAAGCTGACGTTTCGAGCGTTAGCCCTTCGTTCCGAC